TGGTTGCTGGGGAGGCGGGTGTAGTGAGGCTGATGGGGGCAGAAATTTTCAGTGATGCTTTGTGGTTTTAGCATGCGCCAAATCCTTTCTGTGCCCTGACTTTAACACCCGTGTTCCTTTCAGTCCTCGGTCTTCTGTACAGATGTATTACCTTACTAGCAAATTGTAGTTTGTGTTATTTGCAGGTTCAGGTGTTTTCCCAACGGCACATGCACTTGATTTGGGTGAGGTTTTCTCGATTGCAGTATTGATTTTACCGTATGTAACTCTGCTGCTCATAATTTGTACTCTTGTAGCCTTCATGTGTCTCAGTGATACATAGTGGAGGTCAGTAGGAATTGTCTTTGCATTCGTCCATACTTTGCTCTTTGTGTTTCCTGTAGGGAAGTGGGCCAGGCAACAACTGGTGCCTTGATGATGTCTGTCTACCTGTTATGAAGATGAAGGATTGTGTTGAAAGTTGTGACTGCTCAAAAACACTTGTGGGTGGCTGCCTGTGGAGGAGGAAATGCAGGAGGAAATGGCAGGGGTGTTTTGCTGGTGTCTTGTCTTTAAAGGTTGAGCCATGTGAAATGGGGCTAGATGTGCCTTGGCTATAAAAGACATGTCATGGCAAGAACCTTGAGTGAGTGTGAGGGGAGAGACCCAAGGTGCAGAGGGAGATGTAAGGAGAGGGTGATTGCCCCTATTCAGACCTTCACTGACCCACTGTGAAGGTCTGCATACATTCACTGGAGCACTGATCCTCTTTTCCTTTTAGAACTTTAAGGTTTCCTCACAGAAAATCAGTGAGCAGACAAACGGATCTTCTTTTATACAGATATATAAAGATACCTGTGTGATAGTGATGTGAAGAGAAATGATCTGGGAAACTGGGCCTTATGTACCATGTGCTTGTAAAGTAGATGGGTCCATGAGCACCGTGGATGTTGAGAAGGCTTGGAGATGCCAGTCCTGGGAGCTGTGCAGGAGGGTCTGTTGAAGGACACAAGGGAATGCTTTTCTTGTTTTCTTGTTCTTTACCCACCCCTAGTATCATGCAATGTGAAGTTTTCCTTCTCAAACTGTTTGGCTGGAAGACGTGTTATTCCAGCCCTGGGAAGTTCTTTTTATGTGTTTGCATGTTGTCCTAATTGTGTAACTGCACAGCTTAATTATGGAGTTATGACAAAGGTTATGTGGAAAGGAGCTTTGGGGAAAGCAAGCTGTGTGTTCACTGCTTACTAAACACCGAAATTATTGCCTAGTCTTAGTTACATAACTGGGAATAGTGTGTTGTGATCTCTTCCTTTCTGCAGGTGTTTATTTTCTGCTTTGCTCTTTGATGGCCTGAAGATGGTTCTTTCTCTCTGATAGTGTGTTGAAGATGAGATCTGTTCTATTTGCCTGCCTGTTCTGTAGGTGCCTTTCCTGTTTACAGCTGGAAAGAGACTTTCAGAGACATGTTTCTTTAATCTGTCACTGTAAGAAATGCTCTTGCTTGTGACATGCCAAAGGTGAGAAGTCAAATCTTATCCATAGTAAGGAGACGTTGTCTGAGCAACATTTCTTTTTTTGGGAAGGTCTTTCTGTCAGTTTTGAAGATCTCTGATAACCCTGAGAGCTGTGAAGAGTTTGAGGAGAGTGTTGGGTGTGTTGTGTGTGAGGAGGTGCTGGTGGAGACATGGCCTCTATTTTGCTGATTCCCAGGGTTGAAACTATACCTTATG